GTATCAAAGAACAGAGTTCAAGAGTCCTAAGGCATCTATGAAGCCGTACTTGTAGAGTCCTAGTTATCACTGTGAAGCACGCCACATTTATAAATAGGGGAATCGATAGTTAGGAACTATCTCACTTTTTTCATACTTTTTTCGTGCGATAGAGTTCATCTCTATAATGTTTCCTTCTAATTTATGCTTGCACGTCTCTTTCAGATCATGCCTCCACGAAGAGTTGTCCAAGGTCGTCTTGTTAAGAGGAATGTTGAGGATCAAGGGGGAATTAATGCACCAGAAATGCAACCCCAAGGAGAGGTCACTAATGGTGAGTTTGGGGATGCTATCCAGATGTTGAACCAAGTTGTGACCAACCAAGTGGGTCAGCAGAGAGAGGATCGACAGGATGTAGTTGATATATCCAGAATCCATGAGTTCTTAAAGATGAATCCTCCAGACTTCATCGTTTCAAGTGTTACTGAGGATCCAGAAAACTTTGTGGAAGAGTTGCAGAAAGTGTTTGAGGTGATGCATGTTGCTAATGCTGAGAAAGTGGAACTAGCTACATACCAATTGAAGGGTGTTCCTAGTGTATGGTACGACCAATAGAAAAAGAGTAGAGCAGAGGGTGAACCAATTGTGAGTTGGGTTGTGTTCGAAGGTTCCTTCATGGGGTGTTTCTTTCCCCGTGAGCCAAGAGAGGCATAGGTAAGAGATTTCCTCACTCTTAAGTAGTAATATATGAGTGTGAAAGAGTATAGCCTTAATTTCATTCAACTTCCCGTTATGTTCATGAGATGGTTGCTGATATGATGAGTAGGATAAGCTTGTTTGTTTCTTGATTGTCTCGTCTATCAAGCAAAGAGGGTAATGATGCAATGTTTGATAGGGGACATGGACATAGCAAGGCTGATGATCCATGTGCAACAGGTTGAGGAAGATAAGTTGAGGGATATATAAGATTTCTAAAACAAGAAGGCTAAGACAACAGAATATGAGTCCGGGCAGCAGAACAGTAATGCAAACCGGTCATCTTTTCAACACAAGCCAAATGGCCTGCTCCATCATCTACTAGTACACCTGCACCAAGGAATAGAGGTGAGTTCCACAATCAGAATTCACAAAACTTCAGAGCTAGACGTGCACAGTCTCAAGGCAGTGTGGTACAAGGAAGTAATGAGACCCTTGCATGTGCTAAGTGTGGTAGAAACCACTTAGGACTGTGTCGTGATGGCTCCACTGGATTCTTCAAGCGTCGTCAGAATGGTCACTTCATGAGAGAGTTCCCTAAGAACAGGCAAGGTAGTGGTAATGGGGGCAATAGACCCAATCTTCTTCAGTGGCTCTGCCAGATAGAGCTGCACCTAGAGGAGCTATTTTAGGAACAGGGGGAGAAGCAAACCATTTGTATGCTATCACCAGTCACCAAGAGCGAGAGAATTCGTCAAATGTTGTCACTAGTATGATCAAAGTCTTTACTCTTGATGTATATGCTTTACTAGATCCAAGAGCAAGTGTATCTTTTGTGACTCCTTATATTGTTATTAATTTTTTATTTATTTTTAAAAGCAATTTTTGGTCCATAGAACTTTTATTAATTAAACAAAGTTAACAAAGTAAACAATGGCCCAAGGCCCAAAATAACATTTAAGTTCCTAAAATTATCTTATGTCTATCCCTATTAGGAAAGTATTAGTTCAGTGAGCTCTCCACCTCCTTTTCCACAAGTGACATTTTTTTGCCTGAAACCTTTTTTTTCTCCTTCTCTTCAAGCTCGATCTTGTCTTGCCATGGTAGAAGTTGATATCTGGTATCTCTTTTCCCCTTATTTTAAAGTTGTTTTCATTTTGTTTACCCTAATTAATTCTTAATCCGATAGATGGTCTGGGTTTACTCACAATGGGCTGAAGAAACATTGATTGGAGCTCTCTGTGATGCTGTGAAGGTTTCTGGTAGCCATGGTTCGATCTTCTAGCTCAATATACCTTCGTGTTTTCGGGCCTAATTTCGTAGGTTCCGTTCTGTATTTTCTGTTGTTGTGTTATAAATAAGCTCATTTCATATTTAATGCTGACATCTTAACGATTTCCTCCATGTTGATGCTTATGTTATCCTCAATGTTGAATGTTTATTTTTCTTGTCCTGATTCTTAATGTTGGTATTTGTGCTTTGTCGCTGTTTATTTGTATCCTGAGGTGTGTTGGTAGATCCCCAAAAGTTGTATACTCTTTTATATTTTGCGATTACACGACCTCTTTTGCCAGTAGATCTGGCACACTGTTAGCTTCTCTAAATGTATGGATAATAGTAGCATTTAGTCCTTTTAACCTTTTCCTGATCCTTTCCCCTCTTTCCACCAATTCTCATGGTATTTTCCATTGTCCCCTTATCATCTTCACTACACTCAATGAGTTTGTTTCTATTATGACATCTCTTAACTGCTTTTCCCAACAATACTCCAATGATTCATAAATTGCTAATGATTCTGCCTCAATATTAGTGGTATTACCCAGTCCTGCAGCTCTTGCATAGATCAGATCCCCTTGTGAATTCCTTAGGCAGAATCCATATGAACTTGGTCCTGGATTACCTTTTGAAGCTATATCTACATTGCATTTCAGCTTTTTCATGTCAGAGGGTCTACATACTACACTATGATAGTGAAGCTTTGGCTTGTACCTCTTTAGTCTTCTGGTTATATCTGACCATTGGGTTGACTCGAAATATATCCAAGGGTATAACCTTTTCACTAGCTTTTTAACCATATCTTGCACTTGCATCACCATCCCATTGAAGGTTGAGCTCCATCCATGTTTCAGATTATTTCTCCCTTTCCATAAAGTCCACATGATTATAGCTGGCATAGCCCTCATAACTCTTTGCAATTGTGGTGAGATTTTGTGTGTCCACCATGCAATAATAAATTGTTGCAAATACATCCCATCCATGTGTATACCTGCAAAACCAGCAAACTGCTTCCATAGCCTATTGGCTATGGAGGCTGTTAGGAATAAATGTGTCATTCTTTCCTCTTTTTTCTTCTCACAGCACCAACATCTTGATACTAGATGAACTTTCATTCTCTTTAGATTATCATCAGTTGGGACCCTCCTCTTTCATACCCTCCATAGGAAAAAAATCACCTTAAATGGCAAACCCTTATTCCATATAAAATCAAAATTAATTCTGATCTCCTTCTTTTCCCTCACTATCTGCCAAGCTGATTTTACAGTAAAGTCTCCCTGTGTACTGCCCATCCACCAAACTTTATCATTTTGATCTTCCCTATTAGGAGGAATTATGTTATCCTTAACATTCTCCACCATTTTTGTAGACATGTATTCAGCTAGTATTTATTCATCCCATCTTCCCTCTATGACAAAGTCTTTTACTTCAATTTCTTCTTCCCTAACTTCTCCACTTTCAGTATAATAAATTGCCCCTAATCTTGTCCAATTATCAAACCAAAACTTGATGTTCCTGCCTTTATCTGCCACCAAATGTTGTACTCTACCTCCTCCTTTACCACAATCATTTTCCTCCACACATGTGATGAACCCCATCTTGTAGCTATAATTGGATGATACTTCTTGCAATACCTGTTCCATATGTAGCTACTCCATAGTGAGGATGTTGAAGTCCTAAAAATCCACCATAGCTTTGCAAATAAAGCATTTGATACATCATGTAATGATCTAAAACCCAAACCTCCCTCTTCCTTTGGGTAACACAAGCAGTCCCATGACACCCAAAGTTTGTTTTTGGCTCCATTAGCATTTCCCAAAAAAATCTATCTAGCAGTTTATGCAATTGAGTTATGACACAAGTTGGAGGGTTCATTGCTGATAATAAGTACATTGGCATTGGCTGTAAAACATGTGCTATTAAAACATACCTTCCACCAAATGTAAGAAACCTATTCTGCCACAGGGCCATTCTTTTTTCTACTTTTCTGATCAACTCTTCAAAGTGACCTTTATTCTTCCTGCAATAGAATATAGGACATCCTAGGTAAATGAATGGAAATTTATCCTGTTTGACCCCTGTAGTCCTTCTTATTTTATTGCTTACCCCTATTGGCACCTTTTCCATGTAGATAAAACAAACTCTTGTTAATGTTTACCAGTTGACCAGATATCTTCTTAGTACTTGCATCATCATCCTCATTGATTTAGGCTAACCTGAACAAAAAAGTATAGTATCATCTGCATAAGATAAATGGTTAATTTGGGGGCTCCATTTTGAAAGCCCAAAATCTTCCAATTCAGCTTCTTCAAATAAACCATTTAAGTTTCTTGCCAAAACTTCAGCTGCAATAATAAACAAAGTAGGTGAGAGTGGGTCTCTTTGTTTCAGCCCTCTTGATTATTGGAAGAAACCATAAGACTTCCCATTCATGAGTATCGAATACCAGTTGTTACTAATCAGCCTTACTATCATGCCAATCATTCTTTCTGAGAAGTCAAACTTTCTAATTACTTGAACAAGATACTTCCAAGAGACTCTGTCATAGGCCTTTGCTATATCAAGTTTCACAACCACATTTTGTAGTTTGTTTCTCTTGTTAATATCCCTTATGATCTCTTGAGCTAGGACAACATTTTCAATTATGCTCCTTCCTTTAACAAACCCCAACGGATTCACTGATATAATCCTTGGCAGCACTTTTGAGATTCTTTCATGTATCAATCTTGAGATGATCTTATTGGCAAATGTGCTCAAACTGATTGGTCTTAAATCTCCATAATTCTCCACTACATCCTTCTTTGGAATTAGGACCTGGTTTGTGTGTGTTATGTATCTTGGTAGCTCAAAAACACTGAAAAAGGCCCTTACCATATTCCACACTTTACCTCAATGATTTCCCAACAATATTGAAAGAAATTGCCTGAGTAACCATCTTGCCCACTCGCACTATCTCCATTTAAGTTAAAAACAACCTGTTTCTCCTCCTCTTTTGTAGGTATCCTCTCCATTTCTTTATTCTCCTCTTCTGTGATCATTTTTGGGATACACTAAAGCATTGAAAAGTCCACTGTCTCTTGTGTTTCCTTAAACTGATCCCTGAAAACATTTACTACTTCCTCTCCAATATTCTGAGGTGAGTTAATAGTGTCCCCTTGTATAGTTTTGATTTCTCTAATTTTCAATTTCCTCCTTCTCCCTTTAACATATGCATGGAAGAACTTTGTGTTTCTGTCCCCATCTGTGAACCACCTCATTCCTGCCTTTTGCCTCCAAAAATTTTCTTCCATCTTCAGATACCTCTTTAATTTTGCATTAGCCTTGCTGAGTTCAGCTTTGTTGGCCTCTATAGGAGCTACTTCTAATTGCACCTCCTTTCCTTTAATCACATCCTTCATAGTTGCAATTTTTTGAAAAATGTTCCCAAATGTCTCCTTGCTCCACTGCGTCAGTACTGTTTTTAGTTGTCTCATCCTTGTATGAAAAATGGTAAAAGGGGATCCTTCAACCTGATTCCTCCAGTTTTCCTCTACTATCTTCTTGAAATTTACATGTTTGGTCCAAAAATTCAAGAACTTGAAAGGCCTGCTGACTGGTTCCTGATCAGAATTACACCTTACATGTAGTGGTGTGTGATCTGATCCCTGCTTTATTAAATGGTGGACCTCACTTTCCAGTGCAAGATTCATCAAAATGTTATTCCCAAAAACCCTATCAAGTCTCTCAAAGATGCAAGCTTCTTTGATTCTCCCATGCCACCAAGTATATCGACTACCTATAAACTTCAACTCATTCAACGTGTAGTTATTAATACATTGAACAAAGTCTTGTGTCTCAAAATGAGACACTGGTAGACCCCCCCCCCCAATTTCTCTGTGCCATCCACTATTGTGTTGAAATCCCCCCAACCACCCAAGGTACAATCTGGTTTGCGTTTGCCACAAAATCCAAATGCTCTCATAGCTCTAATCATTCTATCGCACTACACCTCGCATAGACTGCTGTAAGAGAAAATCTAAATTGTGTGCCTTTGAATTTGTAATTAATAGTGAGTTGTTGAAAAGTATTTGTTGAACCTTCCTCCTCCCAATCGTCCTCCCAGAAAATCCAAATCTTATCCGAGCAATTTTACTTAGCATGTGGTAATCGCAGCTTTCTCCGATAATTTTACAGTTCGAAGGGACTTTGAAAAGGCTCTAGTATTGCAATGTATGAATAGTGATGTGTCTTGTTCAAGTCGACTACTCTCTTAAAAGCATTTTGAGTTTTAACTGACCTAATATTCCAAAAGAGGACTTTGTCTATCATTGATATGATGATAATGAAGACCCCATCCTACTCCTTGTCTTTATTTGTGATAGCTGATTATGCTTGGATCCTCTTTTGTCTATTCCTTTTAATCTTTCTATCTGCTTTGGTGATAAGTCTTCACTTCTGCCTATACTGTCAATATTTGCATCCATGTTTTCTTCCTCCTCTGTATCTTGTTGATGTTGTTTTTCCTGCTGCTTAGTGGTATGGATTTTGGGTGGTAGCTCTCCCTCCAAATGAGGTAATTTTCCTGACTTTACCCCTTCATTCAGTCCCCTTACCCCTTTAAATTGTTGTTGGCTCTTTTCTCTCTGGGAATCCTCTGTTGAGTTATTTGTACTACTCGATGTCCCTATTTCATTTGAGTCTTTATCCTTGATTAAATGATCTCATTCATTCGATTCCTCTGCTGATTGATTTTCCCCCATGATATCATGCTCATGTCTTTCTTGACTATCTTCTTTCTCCTCTTCATTCTTTTCATCACTATCCTTCTTTTCTTTAATCTCCTCCTCTATTTTATCCCTATCTATACCTCCTCCACTTTGTGACTCATATTGATCACCAACTCTTCTTTCCTCTTCACTGATTTTTCCTTCCTCCACTTCTTTTATCACACTGATTTCCCCTTCTTCCTTTTCTTTATTCTCCCCCAAAGATTCATACATGTTATGTGTTTGAACATTATGATCCTTCACTGGATGTTTCCTTGGATTCTATACTTGTTCTCTCCTTCCACCTTTGTTATGATATCTATCCCATTCCTCAAACTTCATCCTGCTTTAATCATTCAAATTATTGTTTTCACCTTGCTTAATCTCCCTTTTATGCTCCACCATCTTTTCTTTCCCTTTGGATCTTCTTTCCAGTTCTTCCTTCTTGTCCCCTGTCAATTTTTCAGCATTACTTTCCTTCTCCTCTTTAGGGTATAAATCTGGATGAATGATAAAACATTATTTTTCATTATGTCCTTGTAGCTTGCATGTTTTGCAGTATTTTGGTACATAGTCATATTTTATTGCAACCCACTTCTCCACTACATCCCCTGTCTTTTTCCATACTCCCACGTTGATTCTAAATATTCTTGTTTAGCAACTTCTTGAGCCCTTTAGTGTTTCTACACCTTTTGGTAAGTCTATTCTATCTAAGAGGGTTTATAATGATTGTACTATTTCCATCAATAACAAGGACACCATGGTTGACTTAGTCGAGTTTGACATGGTAGATTTCAATGTTATTCTAGGTGTGGACTGGCTTCATGCCTATTATACCTTAGTTGATTGTAAAACTCGTAGTTAAGTTCTAGTTTCCTAATGAGCCAGTTATAGTGTGCAGAAGTAATTCAGCAGTACCTAAGGGTCATTTTATTTCGTACCTTCAGGCCAGAAAGTTATTTTCCAAGGAGTACATCTATCACTTAGTTCGAGTTAATGACTCTAGTGTTGAGACACCCCCTATTTAGTCAGTTCCAGTTGTGAGTGAATTTCCAGAGCCCTTTACAGATGATCTTCTCGAAGTCCCTCTTGAGAGAGAAATTGTGACACTCCGGAAACTAGTAGATTAAACTAGAGCCTAACGTAAGGGTTAGAGTCGTAAATTACTCCTCGTACTCAATATATATGTTTTTGGGTTAATATGTCAAGGTACGACCCACCATGGGTCCTTGAGGAGGACCCTTCAAAAGGTGTCAAAAACCATGCACCCACGAGGAGTAACTCACGCCCCGCAGGTCCCCCCCCCCCCCCATTTCGTGGGTGAGGAGTCGTGGATGAAGGCTGCAGGTTCAAGTCCTAGAACCCCAACCCACACTTCACCAGAACAGGTCGTGGGTCCAACCACGGTCCGTAGGTGAGGGGAGTCGTGGGTGATATGGGGTTTTGCTTTTTAAATAAATACTAAAAAGTTGCGTCGTTTTACACCTAATTTAACTAAATATATAAGGTTTTTAAGCCCCTAAACTAAGTCATCCAAATCATAATTCCAATTTCCCAAATCAAAGTCAATTTCCCTAAAAAATCTTCTCTCTAGAACTCCAAGGAAGAAGAAGAAAATCATGCTACGGTTTGAAGAAAGAGGCTTTTTCACTCAATTTCGTGGGAGAATCATAACTAAGTATTGTAGTCCTTTATCCATGGATAGCTTTCATCCATGGAACACTTAAACTCTCAATTTCAAAGTTAAAAATTCCCTAAAAGCTAGGGTTTTGACTCCAACTCATGGATTCTTTCTAAAAAGGATTTTAATGATTTAATTACCTTATATTATGATTGAATTATTGATTATCGTGGTTTTTATGATAAAATCTCCCATGAATACATGAAAATCCCCATATTTCCAATTTATGTCTTTGTGATGTGGGTGAATTGATGAAGGAAGGATACTATGAGATTGTGCTTGTAATGATTGAGTTATTGGAATCATGTTATTATCCATGTCTAATGTTGTAATCCTAGATGTGGTTGATGAATGTGATCCTTGGTCCAAGAGGGGTAAAACATGAGAATTATACATGATTATGGGCTTTTGTTTATGCTTTATGATTATGATTATAATCTAATTGTTGTGTTGTTGAAAAGTTATTCTCACATACATACTTATGCATGAACATGACACAGTGTGAAAGGTCTTCTCACAATATAATGAGTTTAGGGTTGAAAGGCTATTCTCACCTATTGAATTTATGAGCTATCTTATGAATTATGTTGGATTCAATGTCAAGGCATTATTCCATAAATATGAACCATAAGACAAGACTAAATATGTAATTGTGGGAAGTAATGCTTAGCACCGAGTGGATATTGAATATGAGATGAAAGCTTTGATATAAGTTGAGTTCGGCTTCCAATGGGACCTTCTACACTAGTTAAGTTCGGGTTCCCATAGTATGAATCTCATGAGATGGAAACCTTCAACAAAAGTTGAGTCCGGATTTCTAGTAACAATCTCCATATCCCATAACTACGTGCCCTCGTAGGATATTTTGCTAGTGGATTCACCTAAAAGCTAATAAATCATGGTCTTACCTTAGGCAAGTAGGTCAACCCTTTTCGGTGTGGGTAACACCGGATTCCATGTTAAGCCCACATGGTCTATGTCGGTTAAGGATAGTTCCCACTATAACATATGAACAAGAACCTTAATTATAAATTATGGCTACTCATGAAGCTTTACTTAGGCATGGGTGCGATTATGGGATCTTATTCATGCATTGCACAAGTGGGCTTTGAGGGTACTTATGGTATTATTTCTCTTATGCTATGATGATCTATTTAATGATTATGCGTATGACTTATGTTGTTCCAATATCTTCAAAAATGATGTTTAATTTACTGAAGTGCATGCATTCAACAAAAATGTCCCTTTTTGCATGTTTTAAAGGTTTTTATGCATGACTATCATACTTAGTGCAATATTGTACTAACCCCTATTTCTTCTACATTTTTTACCAAGTGTAGGATCCGGTGCTTAAGGTGATCATCATTTGGTTCAAGCTTGGACTCGACTATTCTCCTTGCTTGTGGTGAGTCCTCAAGATTTGAGGACGGACATGGTCATTGTAGTCTCATTCTTGTACATTTACTTTTGGATTATGTTGTTTTGGGCTGTGACCTTATTTAATTTGACTATTGTAATAGATGGCTAATTGAGACAAGTCTAGACTTCTGCTTTCCTTTATAAAAACTTTTTGGAATTCAATGTGTTTTACTCTTTATTGTTCTAATGCTTAATGTTATGATATGCTAAGTGGCTTACATGGTTCCTTCTGAGGTTCTATGTGCCTGGTTACATTTAGAGGGTACCCCTGGGTCATGAAAAACTTGTCAATCATAGCACAAGGTTTAGAATGATTCTAGGATGATATTTCATAAGCCATGTCTAGTAGAGTTTTGTTCATGAGTGTGAAGCACGCCACATTTATGAGTGAGAGCTATAAGATGATGTTAACAAAGTTCTTGATATTGTGGAAATGTCTTCAAAATAGAAGGCAGAGTTAGCCGCCTACCAACTAAAGATGTGGCTCAAGTTTGGTATGATCAATGGAAAAGTGAGAGACATGTAGGAGTGGGCCCAGTGGATTGGGAATTGTTCAAAAAGGCATTCCTTGATAGGTTCTTCCCCCTAGAGTTGAGGGAGGCTAAGTTACAAGGGTTCATCAATCTTTGTCAAGGATGTATGAGTGTTAAGGAGTATGCTCTAAAGTTCACCCAAATCTCCAAATATGCTCCAAGAATAGTGGCGGACTCAAGGGCTAAGATGAGTAGGTTTATGTCGGGTGTGTCCGACTTGGTTGACCAAAAGTGTCGTACAGCAATGCTCATCTATGACTTGGATATCTTAAGGCTTATGGTGTATGCTCAACAAATTGAGGAGTCCAAAC